TATCATAACAACATAATGTGATTTTTACGTGATTATGGATATGTTAAGTAAAATTCTAAATGTTTTATGCTTTTGATCTCAAACCAGTAGCTAAGGGTGGAGTTTCCCAAAAGCATTTGCAATTATAGAGTTACATCCTGGGTTATTGTTTGTGAAAAGGGAACAGCTCCAGTCTGGCAGCATGTTTCGTTTCCCATTCCCTCACTGTAATCATATTGTACTTGCATTCTGTGTCTAAATACATTGCTTGACAAAGCATGGTGTTCACATTACAACAGACATTTGTGTATATAGGTATGTAGGCTGATATTGATAATTATATACAGTTATACGTGTTTTTATTCCATTCAGTGTCTTACAAATGTTTTATTTCATATTTCAGCTCACCTGAAGAAGGAATTGAATCTGCCTGCTTTGACATGAAGGTACGATTTTTCCCTTCCATAACTTTTTCATCTAATGTCTTTACACTGTCACACACACATACATTCAATAACATTTAATTTAAATGGAGTTTTTAAACAAATTTTACTATTTCATGAAAAATATCATCTTATTTTGAATTTGATGCCAGTAAAATGTTCCAAAAAAAATTGGGTCAAGGGAAGCAAAGGCTAAAAACGTGTGGCAGGGTGTGGTCTGTAGCACCGTATCTGGCTGATACACCGAAACTGCATCAGCTCATCACACTTCCCCTGCATTCAAGTCTTTGCTGGGTCCTGACTGTGTTGTTTTAGTTGGTGTGTATGTTCGGCTGCAAGCTAAAAAGCTGCAGCCGTGTCTGTAAAACAAAGACCGTGAACAGTGGCGGTCCTAGCCTGTTTGGCGCCCAGGGCGAACACTCCCTCTGCCCCCCCCCCCCCGCCAAACAAACACACACACACACACACACACACACACACACACACACACACACACATATAAAACATATTAAGGATTATGCATTAACATAAAACTGTTGTCGGAACCATACTGAATTTCACCAGAGAAACACACACATATGAAGAGAGAGAGAGTGTGCATAGTATGCAAACAGCCACCAAACAGCCATCATAATTCATCATACAATGAGAATAGAACAAATCAACAATTGACAATGACTAATTAATATTAAAATCTGTAACATAATGTATTGTTTGGAGTTTAGTCTGTTACTGTTACTATTTTTACCATTTCTTCTTGGAGCAACCCACATTTCCTTAGGGATTAATAAAGTATTCTGATTCTGATTGTTTCAGGATACATGACTTGCCATGATCCAATGACACATCTGGTTACCTGTATCTTTTGCGCGTTTCTCCTCCTCTTCTTTTTTCTTTTTTCTAAACTGAAGACATGATGGCTTTGAACTTTTCTTGTCCATCTTCCATTGGTTTTAATTTTACACTACAGTATGAACACCCATCCCCCAACTCAGGGATCACCCCAACATAACCTAATAAACCTACACCTTAGTTCATTTTGTCTAGGGTTTATTTCGAGGATTTCGCACAACCCAGGATTCCAATCATGAATACATAATGGGCTTGGATTTACAACATTATGAATGAAATGTGGTCTACTTGGAAGCAGCAGGGCTCTCCTCCCCTTTCGACGGGTTGTGTGTGAGATTTTAAATCATCAAACTGTAAATTATGAATTTTAAATTGTTATTGATCCCTTTATCGCGGGGGCAATAGTCCTAAAGTGTATATTTATTTTCTTACTCTTCTTGTTTGTTTAATTGCACTGCTGTAACTGGAGCCTCGTCGTCTTGTAAGCAAGTAAAACTTTATTTATATAGCACCTTTCAAGATAAAAATCACAAAGTGCTTCACAGAAGCTAAAACCTAAAAATAAAAATCAACTAAAAGCAAGTTTAAAAAGATGGGTTTTTAGCTGTTTTTTAAAAGTGACCACTGAGTCCACAGATCTCAGGCTCAAAGGGAGGTTCCACAATCTGGGGGCCACAGTTCCAAAAGCTTTGTCGCCTTTTGTCGCAGCAAGCAAGCCCTGGTCACATGACCTCAGGGACCTGCTGGGAATGTATGGATGCAAAAGTTCACTTATATATGTTGGTGCTTGTCCATGCAGGGCCCTGAAAGTCAAGGTAAAAACCTTAAACTGGATCCTGAATTTAACGGGGAGCCAGTGCAGCTGAATCAGCAGGGATGTGACATGGGAAAACTTGGAGGACTTGGTCAGAAGCTTTGCAGCAGCATTCTGAACAACTTGCAGACGATCCAAAGAGGCTTTACATAAACAAGTAAACAAAGAATTACAGTAGTCCAGACGAGATGAAACAAATGCATGAATGACAATTTCTAATTCGGAGCGCGATACAATGGGACTCAGCTTAGCAATGTTTCTCAAATGATAAAAACAGGAGCGAACCAAAGATTTTACATGGGCATCCAAAGTCAGAGCTGAGTCAATACTAACACCAGATAGACGGTTTTGCAAATGTAGCAAGTGGACCCAAGTTTTCCATAACACTAGGTACAAAAGTTTTAGGAGCACAAACAAGAACTTCAGTCTTCTCCTCATTTAGTTGAAGAAAGTTTCCAGCCATCCAACATCTAATGGAGTCTATGCACTTGTGCAAAATTTGTAGCTTGGAAACATCATGGGGCTTAAAGGAGATATATACCTGAATATATACACAGCATAGCAGTGATACGAAATGTCCTTAAAAGTGCTCAATAAGTGTTGAAGAGGAAGTAAATACAGTAAGAACAATAAAGGCCCCAAAACTGAACCTTGTGGCACACCATAGGCAAGAAAAGTAGAAGAGGAACTGTACTTAGAGGTAGCCACAGAAAAGGATCGTTCATGCAAATAGGATTCAAACCAGTCCAAAGCAGCCCCTGATATACCCACCCAGTCTCTCAGCCTATCTAGCAGAATATGATGGTCCACAGTATCAAAGGCGGAGGTCAGGTCCAACATCAACAGAACGGAGCATTCTCCTGCATCACATCTCATTAAAATGTCGTTGGAGACTCTAAGAAGTGTAGTTTCAGTAGAGTGAGCTCTACGAAAGCCAGATTGGAATTTATCCAGAATGCTGTATTCATCTAGAACAGCTATAAGCTGCTTAGCCACAACCTTTTCTAAAATCTTAGAAATGAACGGTAATTTTGAAATCGGTCTGTAGCTACTGAGAAGAGAAGCATCAAGCTTAGGTTTTTTAACAGTGGGTGAATAACAGCATTCTTACAATAAACAGGGACCTGACCAGAAACCAGTGAGGTATTAATAATTGTGAGCACACAGGGACCAATAGACTGAAAGACATTTTTAAACAAAGATCCAGGTAAAATATCAAGAGAGCAGGAGGATGCTTTCATTGAATTAACCAACTTGACCAGCTCAGGTAAGGACACAGGTAAAAATCTTTCTAAAATTACAGGCCTAGCTTGAGTTGGAGCAAACAAGAGAGACACAGAAGGAGAGATACTGTTCCTCACGTTACTGACTTTTTCAACGAAGAAAGAAAGAAATTTTTCACAATCTTCATTTGATGAAATTGGGACAGCAGGTGGAGCAGGAGCAACAATATCACTAATGGTGTCGAATAGTACCTTAGACACTAAGTCTGAGAAATAGGCCGCCCTCGCATCTCGAACTAAAGTGTTAAAAGAGACTAAAAGTTCCTTTAGATAAAGGAGATGGACATGCAAACGCGTTTTCCTCCATAAACGCTCAACCTTACGGCAGCAACGCTTTAAGAAGCGAATGCTGTCATCTAACCAGGGAGACGACTTTGAGACCGGAGCTAGTCAAACTTTGACAGGACAAACATTGTCTAAAATACAAAGACAATGATTATTAAAAAGATTTGTTAAAAAATGAACATCATTATAGGGAGATAAAACTAAATTAAAAGCATCGGAAAATTTAACAGCACTAGAGGAAGTTAAGATGCGAGAGCTAACCAGGTGTCGAATAGGAGAGAAGGACAAATGAAAAGACAGATTAAAAAGAATACAATGATGATCCGAAATAAAAATGTCCTCAGTACAAATAAAATCAATGTTTAAACCTAAAGTAAAAACAAGGTCCAGTGGTGTGTCCTTTGGTGTGTGTGGGACCAGACACATGCTGAGTAAAATGAAAAGAATCCATGACGCTAAGGAAACCTCTGGCAAAGAGGTCAGAGTCATCATCAACGTGTATATTAAAATCCCCGACTATAACCAGTCTGGACAGCTTCAAAGTCGAGGATAAAAAGTCACTGAACTCCTTTAAAAACATAGTGTTTAGGCCAGGTGGACGATACACTACAGCGCAGTAAAATGGATCTTTATTTCCAATTCTAACCAGCTGTAGTTCAAAGGATGAAAAATGTCCGACCAACACTGCGCGACAGTAAAACCGGCTTCCAAACACCGCAGCGACACCTCCTCCTCGACCCGACGTCCGAGGCTGGCTGATGAATGAGTACCCACTCGGACAGAGTTCAATGAAGGATGAAAAGTCACCATCGCGCTGCCAGGTTTCGGTTAGAAATAAGAAGTCCAGTTTCTTGGAAAGAATAAAATCGTTCAGCAGGAACGTTTTATTAGTCATTGATCGAGCGTTGAAAAGCGCCACTCTCAGCGAAGTAGAAGACATATTATTAACAGAAGCGGCCCGATTTAGGGGACGAAGAAACAGAGAGTTTGATCCGCGACGTTCATAAATTCCACTCACCGCGGGGATGGAAGGCCAAACAACAGGAGAGTCTGGATGAACACTCCTGAGGTAGCGCCGTCTCATAGATCCAGGCACAGTTAGTCCCCGCTTCCAGAACAGTCTGAGTTTTACCTGGACACCTGCTCTTTTTCCTCTCCTTCTCCGTGACTTGCGCGGACACAGAAAGGCGCCACTGATGACACCTAACGAAGATCCAGACACCGGTGTCGGCAGCGGAGGATGGAAAATACCGCAGGAGGATAAGGCATCTTGACTTATCATAGAGGATCGGATGAATAATAGCGTCAGGCGATCATAGACAAGGGCAGCCAACACATTAGTGACAAAAAGCGAAAGCAAAAAGGCCGAAAAAAACAGCACAGAGAAACCACGGCCGGTGTTGTGCCAAAAAGTGATTGTCTGCCAGAAACTGATTGCCGTCCGCGGGAGCGCGCGCAGCTGCTTAAAGCTGTAGCGCCCGGATTACTTGCGTTGCCAGCTACTTCCGTGCAACTGATATAACGGGCGGGGGGGCAAACCAACACATTTATGCCTTTGTTATTAGGCAAAGGTATGCATTTATGAAACTTCAACGTTTCTTGTAACTGAATTATGACGCTTTTCAGAACGTTGCTTTCGGTGTGTAGCGCAGTCACGAATGACTACACGCATCACGATGGAATAATTAATGCCTACAGGTTTAGTATGTCTACTCTCGTTGTTCATATTTGTTATAAGACTGTCGAATAGTAGTTAAAACAATAAAGACCATTTGTGCCAGTATCACCATGACTCTTTCTTGTTTGTTCAGAATAACGACTAAGAACATGGCATTTTAGCGCTACCAAAAAGTGATTGTGGCCTATAACTCGTCACTGAAACAATATTTCTGCTTCAAACTTGGCGGATGTCATTCAGAAGGGTCATATGCCAAATATTACATCTCAAACAGTCCCTTAGAACTGCTGGATAACCTGTAAAGGAACATTAACATTGATAATATGCCATTTTCAGCCTGCCAAAAAGTGATTGTGGCCTATATCCTGTCACTGAAGCAATGTTTCTGCTTCAAACTTGGTGGATGTCATTCAGAAGGGTCCTATGTGACATATTATATCTCAAACACTCTCCAAGAACTGCTGAAAAACTTTTAAAATAACATTAATACCGATAATATCTCATTTTCAACCTGCCAAAAAGTGATTGTGGCCTATATCTAGTTAATGAAATACTATTTCTGCTTCAAACTTGCTGCATGTCATTCTGAAGGGTCCTATGTGACATATTATATCTCAAACACTCCCTTAGAACTGCTGGATAACCTGTAAAGGAACATTAACATTGATAATATGCCATTTTCAGCCTGCCAAAAAGTGATTGTGGCCTATATCCTGTCACTGAAGCAATGTTTCTGCTTCAAACTTGGTGGATGTCATTCAGAAGGGTCCTATGTGACATATTATATCTCAAACACTCTCCAAGAACTGCTGAAAAACTTTTAAAATAACATTAATACCGATAATATCTCATTTTCAACCTGCCAAAAAGTGATTGTGGCCTATATCTAGTTAATGAAATACTATTTCTGCTTCAAACTTGCTGCATGTCATTCTGAAGGGTCCTATGTGACATATTATATCTCAAACACTCCCTTAGAACTGCTGGATAACCTGTAAAGGAACATTAACATTGATAATATGCCATTTTCAGCCTGCCAAAAAGTGATTGTGGCCTATATCCTGTCACTGAAGCAATGTTTCTGCTTCAAACTTGTTGGGTATCATCCAAAAGGATGATATGTGGCACATCATATCCCAAACAGTCCCTTAGAACTGCTGGATAACCCGTAAAGGAACATTAACATTGATAATATGCAATTTTCAACCTGCCAAAAAGTGATTGCCGCCTATATCTTGTCACTGAAACAATATTTCTGCATCAAACTTGTTGGATATCATCCAAAAGGGTTACATGTGACACATTATATCTCAAACAGTCTCTAAGGACTGTTGAATAACTATTAAAGGACCATTAATACCCATAACATGCCATTTTCGACCTGCCAAAAAGTGATTGTGGACCATAACTTGTCACTGAAACAATATTTCTGCTTCAGACTTGCTGGAAGTCATTCAGATGGGTCATATGTCAAATATTATATCTCCACCAGTCCCTTAGAACTGCTGAATAACTTTTAAAGGGACAATAATACCTATAATATGCCATTTTCAGCCTGCCAAAAAGTGATTGTGGACCATAACTTGTCACTGAAACAATATTTCTACTTCAAACTTGACTGATGTCATTCAGAAGGATCATATGTGACACATTCTGCTGAAAATTATGTATTCCTCAAGAGATGTAACTAGGATGCCCTACTTTTGTTCGCTGTTGTGCGCAGCTGTTAATTAAACTCAAATTTGGCAAACAGTGGAAAGCTAAAAAATTACGTAAAACATTCGACAAACTCACCTTGAACCTCAAAGTTCTTTGCCTTTCGACGAAAATTGCACTTTTGTGTGGTGGAAAACCCACTAGGCAAGGTTCCATTGGTTTTAAACGACAGGATATCGGAATAAAGAGTGGGGTCCATGACTCTGTAACGCTTTTCTTACACTCGGCTAATTGAAGCACTTTAGGCCTACCAATTGAGCTCTAAGCAAAACAACAGGATGTTGAGTAAATTTAAATCGGAAAAACATTTTTTAAAGGGAAAAGAAAAAGTAATATTCTAAAACATCAGAAATATTTTATTAAAGAATGAATGAAAACTTTCCAAAACGTGAAATTATACTTATATTTAGATAAGACAATGTATACAATCTAAAAGTTTTTTATTTTTATTTTTAAAAAGAAATGTCATGTCATTATGTGCGTAATAAATATTGTTTCAGTGACAAGATATAGGCGGCAATCACTTTTTGGCAGGCTGAAAATGGCATATTATCAATGTTAATGTTCCTTTACGGGTTATCCAGCAGTTCTAAGGGACTGTTTGGGATATGATGTGCCACATATCATCCTTTTGGATGATACCCAACAAGTTTGAAGCAGAAACATTGCTTCAGTGACAGGATATAGGCCACAATCACTTTTTGGCAGGTTGAAAATGAGATATTATCGGTATTAATGTTATTTTAAAAGTTTTTCAGCAGTTCTTGGAGAGTGTTTGAGATATAATATGTCACATAGGACCCTTCTGAATGACATCCACCAAGTTTGAAGCAGAAACATTGCTTCAGTGACAGGATATAGGCCACAATCACTTTTTGGCAGGCTGAAAATGGCATATTATCAATGTTAATGTTCCTTTACAGGTTATCCAGCAGTTCTAAGGGACTGTTTGAGATGTAATATTTGGCATATGACCCTTCTGAATGACATCCGCCAAGTTTGAAGCAGAAATATTGTTTCAGTGACGAGTTATAGGCCACAATCACTTTTTGGTAGCGCTAAAATGCCATGTTCTTAGTCGTTATTCTGAACAAACAAGAAAGAGTCATGGTGATACTGGCACAAATGGTCTTTATTGTTTTAACTACTATTCGACAGTCTTATAACAAATATGAACAACGAGAGTAGACATACTAAACCTGTAGGCATTAATTATTCCATCGTGATGCGTGTAGTCATTCGTGACTGCGCTACACACCGAAAGCAACGTTCTGAAAAGCGTCATAATTCAGTTACAAGAAACGTTGAAGTTTCATAAATGCATACCTTTGCCTAATAACAAAGGCATAAATGTGTTGGTTTGCCCCCCCCCCCCCCCCCCGCCCGTTATATCAGTTGCACGGAAGTAGCTGGCAACGCAAGTAATCCGGGCGCTACAGCTTTAAGCAGCTGCGCGCGCTCCCGCGGACGGCAATCAGTTTCTGGCAGACAATCACTTTTGGCACAACACCGGCAGCGGCAAAGCCAAACACAGGCGCCATCATACCGGAAGTGTCTTGTCTCTCTATATACTGGACTGTATGTAGCGGAGATGTCAATAAAGTTTACTTTGACTTCAGCAGCAAGCAGGCGCACCGAGGGCTCTCGCGCTCACTTTTCGCGTATAGAATTTCGAAAAAACATCGGTGCAAATTATTAAGTCTGTATTATAATGTCTGGTGTTTTAGTGTTCGTTAGTTTGTTTTTATTTTGTTTTATTTTGCGAGCTGGTTATTAGATGCTGCTCCAGCCAGCCAGAGAATCCCCCCACCGCCCTGCCCTCTCCTCCCTGTGCAAGCAGCAGGCGCACCTCGCAAACGGAGGGCGATAGAAAATCGATCGGTGCCTATGCCATTCCCAATATGCGCTGGCATGATGTCAGGGCAGCATGAGTACGAGCAATTTTTTTATTTTAATTTTTTGCCCATGCGCGTGATGCCGCCCCCCACCACGATGCCGCCCCAGGCAACCGCCCGTGTCGCTACTATCAAAAACCGCTACTGACCGTGAATAAAGTACGCTGGAAAGCATGAAAATATGGTTGGGTATGCCTTGGATCTATTACAGTGGTGCCAAAACCCAGGATCGGGGCACAACCGTAGCTTGCCTCCACCAGTGTGTGAATGCGAGAGTGAATGAATAGTGGCATTGTAAAGCGCTTTGGGTGCCTTGAAAAGCGCTATATAAATCCAATCCATTATTATTATAGCATTTTATTAGCGCCCATTTCAAAAGCCGGCATCTCTGATGGTATGTGAGCATGTTAATGTCTATGGAATTGGCCTGACTGACTTGAACATCTGCAAAGATACCATCAGTGTTAAAAGGTATACACAGGTTTTAAAGCAACATATGCTCCTATCCATTTTCAAGGAAGGTGAGATATTGTGCTGCCATCAAATTCAAAATGACCATATTTTTTCCTTAAGATGGTACATTTTCTCAGTTAATTCTCAAAATGAAATATTGGTTTATGAGAGTTGCAAAACTTTACATTCTTTTGGGCAGTGTCTAACCTTTTGGGCATTTTTTTGTACTTGCAAGAGTGTACAAAAATTGTGTACAAAAAAGTGTACATAGGCAACAATATATCTAAGTGAGATGTACAGAATAACATTTTTTATGGAGCAATGTTGAGGTTACGTAACTTGTCCTAAGCAGCATTTTTTTTTTGTCTCACTGTAAACTTTGTATGGCATGGATGAGAAGCGGCAGCAGAAGTCTGACTTCTTGTTTTTCTGCTTTGTATTATGCAGGAGGTTGAAAGTGAGATCTTCAGACTTAATGAGGGTTTGGAGCTGATGGTTTCCCACAACAGAAGGACCATGCAGAGTGTGGCTCTTTTAGTGCTGGGGGTAAACAGGATGAAAAAGCCACTTACTCAAAGTGACAGTAAGCTCAGTGATGATGATGTCATGAACATCATAGACAGTGTAGTGAAAGGTAAGTAATAATATTGTTATACAGTTAAAAAGAAATCCTCTTATGGCTTATATAATAAAAATAAAACCACACAGTTACCACACTGCTGTGAAGAAATACAAAATTTCTGCTGTTTAGCCCTTTTAATTGTATTTCTCTTGTTTGGGTACATGATATTCTGGGCAACCACATAAGTAAACTAATGTCTATATTTAGGCACTGTAAAAATGAGACAGTGCTGCCATCACCAGGTCAAATTGGAGATTACTAAATCTGCCCTATATACAGTTATCATACAAAATGCTGTTATTAAAAAAATTGGATCAAAAACACGTTTTAAATAAAAATAGTACAAAAAATGCTTCATTTTCATAGTCCCACTGAAAATTAAAAGCAACAATTTAATAAATATAATTCTATCATTTAACACGACTCTTATTATCATTGTGTTTTTTCCCCTCATTTGCTTGTTCACAAAAGAACAATAATTAAAATAAGTCAGACATTATTGTTTGCCAAATAATTTTGTAGCAGTATCTGGCTTAAGCATACTGATCACATCATACTGATGTGATTACTGATGTATTTTTTTCTTTACTGAGAACAAGCTGGAGCAGCTCATTTACTATATTAATATGTCAAACATCAATGACAGCTATCAATTTATAATTGAAACTAAAGTGCAACTAGAAAAATTTGCATTTCCTGCGAAAATGCTGTGAGGATGCTTGAAACTAGCTGAAAAAGCTGAAAATTTGCAGAAATTGTAAAAACTTTGCAGAAGCAAAGGAACTTTGCTAAAATGGAATAACTTAGCAGAACTGCAATATCTTAGAGGAAACATAATACTTGGCAGAAATGCAATAGCATAGCAGAACTTAGCAGAAATATTGTAACTTACCAGAAACATGATAACTTCTCAAAAATACAAAAATTTAGGAGAAATAGTATAAGATAACAGAAAGAATATATTTAGCCAAAAATACTCGAACATTACAGAAACACTATGATTTAGAAAAAAAAGTACAACATAGCAGAAATACTGTGATTTACCAGAGACACTGTGATGAAGTATGAATATTGTAATTTTAAATTAATACTATAATTTGACAGAAATACTATCATTTGGCAGAAATACTATGTTTCAGCACAAATACTCTGGTTTAGCACAAATATTATAACATAGCAGAAATACAATTATATAGCAGAAATGCTATATTTAGAAAGAAAAATATAATATAGTAGAAATAGTATGATTTAGCAGAAATACTGTAATCAGCACATATACTGTAACATGACAGAAATTCCTCCACTTAGTAGTAATACTATAACATAACACAAATGTTATGATTTGGCACAAAAACCATGATTTGGCAAAAATACTATGATTTAGCAGAAATACTATGATTGAGCAGAAGTACTAAGATGTAGTAAAAGTACTTTGATTTAACAGAAATACAATTATGGAGGAGTAATACTTTAAAGTGGGAGAAATATTGATACACACAGACATACACAGAGCCTAAAGGGAACAGTATTTGTGCCATGGAGTGTTAACAAGAATGTGAGGTCCATATTAGAAAAGCTGGTAAAATCATAAAAGTTTGCAGAATACTGTAAAAGGCTTTCTCTCTCTCTCTCTCTGTGTGTGTGTGTGTGTGTGTGTGTGTGTGTGTCTCGCACACACACACACACACACACACACACACACACACACACACACACACACACACACACACACACACACACAAACGGCGAGAGAAGCAAGTTTCTAGGTCAGTCAAGCAGACTGGGAGCAGCTAAATTTGAATCCACCAATCAGAGAGGCTGTGTACTTTTCCCCGCCAAAACAGGTGCACAGAGACAGGATTTTTGTAGTCTATTTCTCATAGTGAGGATTCCCCTCAAACAAATGACCATAATTTCCTAACCGTAGGGGCTAGAACGGTCATTCTTACACAGTTTTGTTCAGAAGAGATGGGGGAATCGTCAAGTGTTGACAATTTATCATTAAAATATGGATTTTTAGAGATATATGACATGGATGACTTGTTGGCTTAGAAGTAGGGTTGCCAACCGTTCCTTAAAATACGGAATCGTCCCGTATTTAGAAACAAAAGTACACGTCCCGTATTGAACTAATAAAGGACGCACTTTGTCCCGTAATACAGTGAGGATCAAAAGTAGTCTATAACTTTTAATGGAATTAACGCTTTGTTTGAAAACATAATTCCCAGCCCCTCTCCTGCTTTGTGACCAATGAGCTGACAGCACACTTATGACAATTCGAGTATGACAATTCAGATTACCGCTCATCGAGGAAAGGTCGCTTGAAATACCGAAAGACAACAGGTGACCACAACAAGAAGCACCATAACTGATTAGAGGCGAAGCAAAAACTGCCTTGACTTGCCCTCAAACAACACTTTCTAACTCTAAATCTATTTGGAGTATCAATATCATTCTTTCACCGTAAGAGACAGCAGGCTTTGGCGAACAGTCATGGAAATTTTCAGGTCTCTGTGGAAATCCAACAAAAAGTTATGACGAGAGAAAAAAGTGGTTCATTTCCAGAGTTTGAAATCTGAAGAAGGACGAATTTCCTACCCTCAAACAAGTCTAACTCATTTCAGAACGGTAATAGGTGAGAAAGAAATTCTTGAATTGTGAGCGTCAGGAGTGTCTGAAGATATACTGGGACAAGCCTCATGTCTTAACTTTGTTTCGTTAAGGAGATATGACGATTCGAATATGCCTCTCATTACAGAAATAAAGCGGTGATTTTGAACAAACTCTCCATTGACTTTCTATGGAGAGTTTTGCGACTTTGTGTTGGTCTGAGGAGATTTGCAAAAATTCTATAAATCCCACAACAATGATAGTGACATTTCCTGAAAGCCAGCAAAAATACCTACATTTTGATGTATAATGAGTGAAAATTCAGCAAGTAGCAAGAAGTTGTTCGGACATGAAGAGAAGACTGCAAAACCTTCAGTGGCACACTGGAAGCCAAGAGCATAGCAACCATAACAACGCATGTATTTTGTGAAAAATCACAATTTTGCAACTCAAAACTTTAAGAGGGATAAAAGTAAAATGGTAAAAGATTTGAAAAAGCTGATTTATACCTGAATAGCCCAATAATTTGAGAACATTTTAAAGTTTGAATGGTTGTTCTACGTGAAAATATGAGGAAGTAGTTAAGTTTCAAAAACAAGCAAATTTGAGCAGAATTGCAGAAGTTTCCCATTCATTTCAATGGGACAAATTAAGCATAATATTTTAAAAAGTATAATAGTGAAAAATACCAAAAGACATAGCCATCATTAGCAGAAATAGCAGAATAGTTTAAAATTTGAAAGGTGAAAATCGGCTGAAAATTGTGGAAGTAGTTAAGGCTACGTTCACACTGCAGGTCTTAATGCTCAATTCCGATTTTTTGATCAAATCCGATTTTTTTGTCTGCTCGTTCACACTACAAATAAAATGCGACAGCAAACGCGCTCTAGTGTGAACGCTCAAAGCGGCCCGCATGCGCAAAAGAAGATGTCACACACAACGCGCTCTGTTTAGACCCAGAGCCAACAGTATTGTTTGACTGATGGCCCTTAATATAAAGACTTCGGACTTCACGTTTCCCAATTTTTGCTTTAAGTTATTTTGTTATTTACATAATAATGTAAATAACCTAATAATGATCCTTATTGCTGTTTAAGAGAGGAGCGGTGCTTCAAAGGATAGCTGCAGATTTCTGTCAGAATCTGCAGATTATACAGTACAAATAAAATGTTTACGTTGTCTTCCCAACAGTTTCACTGACATCTACACTGGATGGCCAGGAAGCGTTCGCGATGTCTTCTCGGGCGCTTCTCTGGCGCTGATAATTGGCTTCAGTCTTGTGTCGGTGACGTAAAAGGCGGATTTAATGCGACTTGACTGTTCAAACAGCAGTCGCTTTCTGAAACATCGGATATGTATCGGATTCAGTACCACATACGAAAGTGACCCAGATCGGATTTGAAAATATCGGATTTGCGCCGTTCACACTGTCATACCATGATCGGATATGGGTCGCATACACAGCAAATTCAAAAGTGTTAAATGTTTTGGTGTTAATAGTCTTCTTGCAAAAGTAGAGTTAATTTTACTCTAAGTAGAGTCACATTCTTTTAATGTAACTCTGAGGTGTAAAATGATAGTAGTTAAAATCGAGTGTTAAAAATGAGTGTTTCTCTGTCAAATCTGGAGGTGTTACAATGGAAACATTAACTCTTGACCTCTTAACTCTGAACTCCTACAGGGGCTATGACACCAACAGAGTAAATTCACAGACTCCGCCCCCAGCACGGCTGCAATCCAAGCTGAAGTGAAGCCGTTTCAGAACATTTTGCTCTACATATTTGAGTTGTTTGCCATGCTTGGTAAGTCATTTTTTCAAAGATTGTTTCAATTATTATTATGAGCTTTTACTTCTGTGGCTCTTTGGAGTTGAGACAAAGCTGTGTGAAAGGCATTAGCCATGTTGCTCGCTGATAGCATAATATTCTGTTTTAGCTAGCTGAAAGGTATTGTTTGCGGGCAAATACCACAGCCTTGAAAAAAAGCTTGCATGTGAATTTTCAGTCAAACTTTTGGTCAAATACACCTAAAACAATGTCTAGAATGTGAAATGTTGGTATAATGGTACTACTTGAAGCCTGAAAACGATCGCCCATAATAAAAAAAACGAGCAAACAGCAGTAGCTGACGTCCTGACTGGATTCTACGTTAGCATAGATCTCTCCAGAGTTTTGTGCACACGGTTTAGGTAAAAATGAAAAAGGTTGAGGTTTTACATTTAGTTCAGTATTACCTGTTGCCTGTGTCTTTTGGGAAAATACTTTACACAAGTAATGGCTCAAAGAGGATTCCTTTTTTTTTTTTTTACTGTGCTGCAATTGTTTACTGGATTATTTATGCCATTAATTAGTGTCAACTAATTTTTATTCAATCTCCGCACAGGATATGCTTGTGAATATGGGGGAGAGCAGAAGTGCGTTGAAGTTCCACAAAGGGATGAATGAAGGACATGCATATTGTATTGAAGAAATAAGTGATGAGAATGCTGTTATTTGCATTTACCATGTCAGACCTTTTGATAAACAAAATTCTAATGAAAGTGAGAACATGTATACTGTTACATCTTTCAGAAAATGTTTTGAAATTGTGGTGCACAGTTCAGAATAAATGTTTTTCAAAAACCATTGCATCTTTTTAGTAAATGTTTATTTCCAAAAGAAATTTCTAGAAGTTCAGAACAGTAAAATTCCTGCTTTTTAGAATGAATTAGAAGATAACGTAGTTAAACTAAAATACTCTTTGAGAGTTAATATATAAACTCTTAACACCAAGTGTTAAATTATCAACTCCAGACAGATTTGGTGTTTAACACTAAATCAGAGTTAACGTACCAACTCTCCAAAAAGAGTTACATTAACACTCTCTGATGTGGACCCATATAGACACTTTAATAGTGTTGAAATCAAATCCAACAGTGTTAATTTGGACATGCTGGATTTGCTGTGTAGGGTCAAAAAAAATCGGATTTGATGCACTTTCGCCTGCAGTGTGAACGTAGCCTAAGTGCCAAAAAGTGTACGGAAGTTCCAAGAGGAACTCAATCCACACAAATATCCAGCATATATTCTGCTAAAATTTGCTTGTTTTTGAAACTTAACTACTTCCTCATATTTTCACGTAGAACAACCATTCAAACTTTAAAATGTTCTCAAATTATTGGGCTATTCGGGTATAAATCAGCTTTTTCAAATCTTTTACCGTTTTACTTTTATGCCTCTTAAAGTTTTCAGTTGCAAAATTGTGATTTTTCACAAAATACATGCGTTGTTATGGTTGCTATGCACTTGGCTTCCAGTGTGCCACTGAAGGTTTTGCAGTCTTCTCTTCATGTCCGAACAACTTCTTGCTACTTGCTGAATTTTCACTCAACTTCCACAAATTATACATCAAAACGTAGGTATTTTTGCTGGCTTTCCGAAAATGTCACTATCATTGTTGTGGGATTTATAGAATTTTGGCAAATCTCCTCAGACCAACACAAAGTCGCAAAACTCTCCATAGAAAGTCAATGGAGAACTTGTTCAAAATCACCGCTTGATCTCCTTAACGAAGCAAAGTTAAGACATGAGACTTGTCCCAGTATATCTTCAGACACTCCTGACGCTCACAATTCAAGAATTATTTTCTCACCTATTACCGTTCTGAAATGAGTTAGACTTGTTTGAGGGTAGGAAATTCGTCCTTCGCTCAGATTTCTTCAGATTTCAAACTCTGGAAATGAACCACTTTTTTCTCTCGCCATATCTTTTTAATGGATTTCCACAGAGACCTGAAAATTTCCATGATTGTTCGCCAAAGCCTGCTGTCTGTTACGGTGAAAGAATGATATTGATACTCCAAATAGATTTAGAGTTAGAAAGCATTGTTTGAGGGCAAGTCAAGGCAGTTTTTGCTTTGCTCTACTCAATTATGGTGCATTAGAAGTCAAATATCTTTAATAATTCATATTTTAATGATAAATTGCCAACACTTGACGATTCCTCCATCTCTTCTGAACAAAACGCTCTAAGAATGACCGTTCTAGCCCATACGGTTAGGAAATTATGGCCATTTGTTTGAGGGGAGTCGTCATTATGAGAAATAGACTGCAAAAATCCTGTGTCTCTCTGTGCTGCGTGCACCAGTTTTGGCGGGAAAAAGTGCACAGGCTCTCTGATTGGTGGATTCAAATTCAGCAGCTCCCAGTCTGCTTGACTGACCTAGAAACTTACTTCTCTCTCCCTGTGTGTGTGTGTGTGTGTGTGTGTGTGTGTGTGTGTGTGTGTGTGTGTGTGTGTGTGTGTGCATGAGAGAGAGAGAGACCCTCTTTAGGGCAGCATCTCATTGTTGGAAAAAAATATAATATATTCAGACTGGTTGACTGGCATAGACCCTCCGTGTGTGTGTCTCTCTCTCTCTCTGTGCATTTGTGTATACATATTTGATTTTGTGTGTATCTGTTGGCTATTCCTTCTTGTTTTTTAAATTTATTTATATTTCTTTTTTTTTTTTCACAGGTGAACAACAATTAGTTTTGAGGGAACTTAACTGTGTTCCGTTTTTTTTTCAGCTTGTCATCTTACTTTTCCAGTATTTTCACTTAAGTTATTACTATTCTGCTCAATCATAGTATTCTTCTAAATCATTGTTATTATGCTATATTGTAGTATTTCTGCTAAATCATACTATTTCTACTATATTATATTTTTCTTTCTAAATATAGCATTTCTGCTATATAATTGTATTTCTGCTATGTTATAATATTTATGCTAAACCAGAGTATTTGTGCTGAAACATAGTATTTCTGCCAAATGATAGTATTTCTGTCAAACTATAGTATTTGTGATAAAACATAGTATTGATTTAAAATTATAATATTCATAGTTCATCACAGTGTCTCTGGTAAATCACAGTATTTCTGCTCTGTTGTACTATTTTTCTAAATCATAGTTCTGTAATGCTTAAGTATTTTTGGCTAAATATATTCTTTCTGTTATCTTATACTATTTCTCCTAAATTCTTATATTTTTGAGAAGTTATCATGTTTCTGGTAAGTTACAATATTTCTGCTAAGTTCTGCTATGCTATTGCATTTCTGCCAAGTATTATGTTTCCTCTAAGATATTGCAGTTCTGCTAAGTTATTCCATTTTAGCAAAGTTCCTTTGCTTCTGCAAAGTTTTTACAATTTCTGCAAATTTTCAGCTTTTTCAGCTAGTTTTTGCATACAGCTTCAGCTTTAAAGCATCCACACTGCATTTTCGCAGGAAATGCAAATTTTTCTAGTTTTTTCTGTGTGTGTGTGTGTGTATTTGTTTTTTTTTTTCTTTTTTAGAAAAACAGAAACTGCTGTTTGTCTAGCTTTAGGTGAATAGAAATTTTTGTTGTTTTTCCTTGTTTTGTTTCCTCTGTCTCTTTAGAAACTGTTTGGACTCCCACCCAAGGAATAAAACGAAGGGACTTCCTGCGTGCCAACAGTGAGAAAGCGTTGACACTGTGTGACAACTCTCAGAAAGATCTTGTTCTGTCAGGAGAGTTACAGCTGCAGGCCATCACTCTGCAAGGGGGATATTGCCACCGCAAAGGTACAAACAGGACACAAAATCATTTACATAAGCAGGTATATTAACGTACTGGTACTAAACTTGAGTATTTCAGGTTCATGCCGCTTTATAGTCCTACTCCGCTGAATTTCAGAGATATTATATCTGATGACCCTCAGCTTCAAGGTTGGAAATGTGACATCAGTTTTAACAATCTAATAAAGTTAACCCCCATAAAGAACAGCTGTGTTTACTTCATTAAGTAAAAGCAGGTGTTTGAATGTAAGACTTGTAGTTGGAGCAAGTATGTTTAACCTGTTGGACTTTAGGTAGAGAGTGTTATCCATCCGTCCATCACTACCAACTAAAAACAAATGGCCATTCTGCACAACTTCAGTCTTCCAACTACACACGAGCTCCTGTTCTTACTTTTTTTGTTTCCTTACGTTAGTGAATTTTAAAATGTCCCGGTACATCCCTTTCTCCGTCCCTCCTGGTGACTCTCCTGGTCTGATTGTCGTCCTGTCTATCAACAACAACCTGTACATGTCTTGCCGCATGGAAGATAATAAAGTTGTGCTGTTTCTGGAGGTAAATATAAATTCACATGATGCAATCCCATTTTATTTCTTTTTAGAGAGTATTAAATAGACAAATTCTCCTTGCCTCCAGCCTCCCGTCTTACCCTGTCCTATAATTTTTATCTGAAAATTATAATGGGGATTTAATAGGTCCAATATTTTACTTTATATGTCACACTTTAAGTTGATGTTTATAGGCTTTTACTACTAGTATTACAACTTATACAGGGGACAGTATAAAAAATTTGGTTTTAAAATTATTTACTCTGAGTAGTTTTCCAATAACTTTGACTTACTATGTCTGAACATACCTCACATACCTCTTTAGTGCAAAATGTGGATATTTTTCCTAATGATTAAGTCCCAGTTTTAACTTTCCATAAACATTTTTCTTTTTCATTGGGACGAAATGTGTTTCCATGAAAAAATGACTGGGAAACGTATTCTTTTCATCTCTTTCTGCCAGCAATACCATGATGACATTTTAACCGACAGAGACATGGACCGATTTCTCTTCTACAGGAAAACCACTGGAATTTCTCTAACCACTTTTGAGTCTGTCAAGTTCCGCGGCTGGTACATCAGCACTTCACAACAGGAAAACCAGCCCGTTGAACTGTGTAAGGTGGATGCTGCTAACCGCCTTACAAGCTTCAGAGTAAACTAAAAGATGTTGTAGCACCCACGCATCTGTATAATTTTTGACATAATCACTAGATGAAGCAATTTTATATAGTAATGCCTGAGTCTGTAGTGGCAGTGTTCTGTACTTATTGAAGTAGAAAAGCTTATGACCTAGTGTAACCTATCAAAAGCACTATTACTTTATAATACATTTACTTACAACATACTTAAAAATAAACAAAGAAAAAAAATTGGAAAACACATGCCTTCTTTGTTGGAGAAAATTGTAACAGGATATTCCTTAAAACTACTGATATATTTTCTTTTTTTCTAAAAAGCTATTATCTTTATTTAAGTTTATGCTATTGCTGTGGCTTTTTAGCCATTAATGCTCTGATTTAAGTCTTCTGCAGTTTTTTTGTACTAAGACCTTTAGAGGTTAAGCTTTTCCTTTTCTGATATCAGCTGGTGTTGTGGGTTAAAAAAATACTGTTTGTCAGGGGTTTAGACATTTGTTCAAACACAAGCAAGAGAAATGAGACAACTGCAGACCGACTCAGAGTGTAATTAGAAAACGTGCGCACGGGTGAATGCCTCTGAAAAGACACACACACCGAGCACAGGCTCACTTGCTTTATTTATAAGGCAAAAATGGGTTACATAGTACTTCCTCTTTTTAACAGTCAGGGAAGAGGTTAAACATTAAATCAGCTTATCTGATCTTTCACACACTGGGATTAAAAATACAGAAGTATATCATGCTTTATCTGACATCACAGACATTATAGGAAAGAATGCATCATTATATCATGCTGTCAAAACATCTCAAACATTTCAGACACTTAAGTAAGGAATGCATTATGTTCTCTTTAACAATAAACTTGATTAGGTAATTCTTCAACAATAAGCTTGGTTATGTGAAAATATATGAACACACAAAATATAAGGCATACTTGGTTAGAATATAAGGCTTACTTGATTATATTGTATTATAGAGATTTGGTTATACTGTATAATGTAGAAAATCTCTTAACACTGTTATATATTTATTTTTTCAATTTCCTCCTTGTTAGCTTGTATTTTGTATTGTTTTAAAACCTCTTTTTGTGAAGAGCCTATATATCTTTAAGAACTTGTAATGTGTCTTCTCTAACCAGTGTAAGGATTTCAGTACCATATTAAAACAAACAAAGAGGGTAGTTTCAACTGGTAGATCCAATTATCTGAGAACAAAAAGTAAAATTAATTAACTGTTTGGTAAGAAAATGGGTTGTGAGAGCCTACTTTAGGAATCTGCCAATAAATAATACCCTAATCTGCTGTACTTCCTACCTACAGATCTTCCTACAAATCTTGGGATATAATTTGGGAAATTACTCTTCATCAGCAATCCATTCACTTGAGCATTGTTGTAAAAGCCGCATTGTGAACTTACAATGAGGCTTTTACAACAATGCCGCATTGTGAACTTACAGCTATGACATTTTCATGTCATAGCTGTTGTAAGCTTTAGGACCAAGTGATAACTGCTACATCTGATTACCTGTGAATTACATATACATTCATTTCTTGGAGAAATGTTGTTTTTGCATTTATTCAGGATTTATTCAAAACACATGCCTACAGGAGCCTTTTCTTCAGTACTATGTAAATCTCAAGTGAAGGAAAGAAAAGCATTGTATATGATTGACAGGGTAATTTTTTTTTAAAATTAGGTTTTGTGAAATTATATATACTGATTATGATTTATCTGTATTTTGTTGCACTATATCTTACATTTGGTGTCTAAAATCTTGTAACTGCATGTAACTGCATTCTCATAATTTCTCAAATAAAGAATGCTAATTTTACATATTTAAAATTTAACTTGATCACCTTTGGTAATCTTAAATTTATTGCACTTGATCTGTTAAAAACATTTATTATGATTGTTAATCGGTGCTGATATTTATGAAATTTATATTTGTGTAATTGATTGACTGATGAAAATGTCTTGAGACGACGCGGAGACTCTAGCAACATTTTAATGTAATGATAAACATCCTTATTAAGTGACCAACGCATTTCGGCTAACTGCCTTCATCAGAGTCATTGTAAAATGTGAAACAGTTTGTGTTCAAATAAAAGACAGGAAACAGAGATTTTTTTCAAATGGATGAATCACACCTTCACAAACAAACCATGTGACCAATTGACATTTAACGAGGTGGTATTGGCTATTTGGTAAATTGGTTATGTCACAGTCCAAGTGCTTATCCTGTTCCTCCTTCCACAAAGGAGCAGATACCAGTCATGCTGATGGATGAACCTTTTATGGCACTTTTCAGCTCTGCTAAAGTAACTTCCTGGCTGTATCCCAATTCAGGGTCTACAGCCTTAAAGTACACAGCCTTAACGGTCCTCAAGGGCCGCGTACTCGAAGATCGCTACGGCCAGAAGTGCGAGGCTTGTAGGCTTGTGAAATGGGACGGTCTAGCCTCGGTCGCACTGACCAGGTTGCCTAGCAACCGTGATACCAACCGCTGGAAACGTGTCATACAGCTTTGTTTGACAGAAATGAATGAGGGATAACGTATTTTGTTCATTTGTTTCTACGTGAGCTCTGTGTGATTTAATGACCAGAGGACTGTAAAACATGATTGTTGGGCTTCATTTCTGTGCTGAACAGTCATTTTAAGATTAGCTAGTAAATAACAATTAGCTAATGTTGTTCATGAGACTAAAGTCATCTCACTTTGGTAATGTGAATATAATATGGCCAATATTATAGTTAATATATTAATTATTATTAGTTATTACAGCAGTGAGCTTGAACTCTGTGTCAAAGATTCAAGTTGCATTTATTTATATGTCCTATCACCTTAAATCTTCACTCAAAGACAAGTATCTTTGACAGTGTATCTATAGATGTATTATATATGAGACAAATATTCTTTTAGTATGTTGGCATTACTAAATTTGGCTCAATGTGTATACATATATGTGTAAAAAGAAAATGTACGAGCTGTAATAACTGTTGCTGATAGAATGAAGAGTAGACCAATATATTAAATATTCCTTTATTAGGTGAAAAAATTATACCATGTGACATAACTGCTTTAAGTCATACAGAATAGATATCAGAGCCTTAAACAGGCTGACTTCTGCTAAATGGGTCAAACTGAGCAGAAAGTACACAAACACATAACATCCTTATAGAATATGATGTAACACTATAGATCAACCTACCTCAGAATATATAAAGCATA